AGTAATGTTATATTTTGACCTCCTTCTTTAGGTACATTTTCACCAGCACTTGCCCAGTAATTTCCAAACTGGCCCTCTGCTTCCTTTTTCATTTTATTTTCCAAGTCACAGAAGAAAATATACTGGAGGATAGTGGTTGCCAGGGGCTAGGGGTAGGAGGAAATGATACACTGTGGTTCAATGGGTATAAAGTTTCAGTTAAACAAGGTGGTAAAGTTGTCGAGCTCTGTTTATAATTAACAATACTGTGATGTACACTTAAAATTTTGTTAAGAGGGTAGATCTCATGTTATGTATTCTTACCACAATTAAGAAAAATAGGGAATTCCCTGGCAGTCCAGTGGTTAGTTAGGACTCGGCGCTTTCACTGCTGGGGCCCAGGTTCAATCCCTGGTCCGGGAACTAAGATCCTGCAAGCCAAGTGGTACGGCCAAAAAAAAGAAAAGAAGAAAAAGAAAATGAATGGAAATGATAGCATTAACAAAAATGCTGGTGAAGTATACCTAACAATGAAGTCGTCTGCCAGCTTGAAAGAAAAAAATGTAAGGTAGCCTGATGGAAGAAAGTATAAAAAAGAGTTGAATCTGCTGTTGGAGACAATGAAAGAGTGCATCAGGATCAGGGAGAACCATGCAATAAGCACTTACAGGACTGATTACATAGCCAAATTGAGCCAAGAGGAAACTTGGGGTGATTGGGCATCATATACTGTTATTCTGTGACTTTCTGTGTTTAGCTGCTGCCCCCTGAAGTGCAATAAATAAATAAAAATAAGAGGTTAAAAAAATTAGGGATGAAACAATGTGATTTTTGACTGTACTGACATAATTCCCTTACTAACCAGTTGCACATGAGCTAATTCATGTATTGAAATGTTTTGTAGCAGAATAGTACTAGTAGTTTTCTACCTTTTCTGTGTTTGTCCGGCCTTCTCTCTTTCTACTCTCAATGTCCAGGTTTCAACCTTCACCACCTCTCATTTGTTCTGTTATCTTCCAGACATGTGTTCCCTTCTGATTGTTCTTCTCATTAACTTATTCTTTATAATGCTACAAGAACTGTCTGTTGAAAACATTGAATCTGATCAAATCGTTTTCCATCATTAGAGCCCGTTTCTCAGACTCTTAGTGTGTGCAAATCTGTCTTCATGGTCTCTGTTTTCATACTTTTTCATTTTCCCTCTTTTGCTGTATGGTAGCTTTTTTTTTTTTTTAAAGGAAACTTTTATTTTTATTTATTTATTTTTAGCTGCATTGATCTTTGTTTCTGCACTGGCTTTCTCTAGTTGGCGGTGAGCGGGGGCTACTCTTCATTGCGGTGCGTGGGCTTCTCATAGCAGTGGTTTCTCTTGTTGAGGAGCATGGACTCTAGGCACGCGGGCTGCAGTTGTTGTGGCAGGAGGGCTCAGTAGTTGTGGCTCGCGGGCTCTAGAGCTCAGGTTCAGTAGTTGTGGCGCATGGGTTTAGTTGCTCTGCAGCATGTGGGATCTTCCTGGACCAGGGCTCAAACCCATGTCCCCTGCATTGGCAGGCAGATTCTTAACCACTGCACCACCAGGGAAGCCCGGTAACGGTTTTCTTCATACCATATTTTGGAAAGTATGCCTTCAGTTTTCAGCTCTATTGTTGGTTACCTTTAGGACTGCAAATAACAAATTTTTAAGCCTACATATGTTAATTTATCAACTTGCCCCAAAATTTTATCAGGTGACTCCTACTATAAAAGATGAGTATTAATTTATGAATTTCCTTTTGTGTTTCCTCTGCTTCTTGTCATTTTCATCTCCCAGTTTTTGTTAGAATACTGTGTGAAATAGGTACCATCCTAATTTTTGCAACACTTTGTAACTTTGTAGTCTTTCTCAGAACTATTAAATTTACATTCTATTCTAGCACCTTAGTAAATTGTCACATATATTTATGTGCTTAAATGGATTTGTTGTCCATCTCTTATTTTTTGATGGCACTGTTTCTGTGAGTTCTTTATTTTGATGTAGCAAAGGATAAGTCTGTATGGCTTATAGTGCACTAATTTTTTTTTTCCTGGAAGTACAATGAAACCTGATCAAATTTAGGTCTTTATGTCAGGATACTTCTTAGTTTATAACTAGTTATATTTTCTCTTGTTTGTTCTGTTGTCTTTCTCAGAGACTGTTCTGCTATTGTTGATATGTTTTATTAGTTCTGCTGTTATATTTGCCTTGTCTATTTTTTCTTTCCTTAACTATGCTACCTTTTCTTTTCAGTATCATTTTGATCATAAGAGTTTTATTTTTCTTGAGAATGTAAAGCAGTTCTTTCTGAAATTTTCTTCTGTTTCCTGTGATAAATATTAATCCTGAATGGATTTTTCATCTTTCTTTTTACTACATGGGTATAGTTTGAATGGTTTTTTTATGCCTTAGAAAGCCTAGTAGAGCTTCTCTTTGGTTTTGTAAATAGATGGAAGACCTTTAACCCCACCCCACCTGCCTGCAGCTTCAGGATGAGCTAATCTGTTACTTTGGAGGTCTGGGACTTTACAAAGCATTGTATGGTGGCGATAGTGGTGGTGCTAAGTTTAGGAGTGAGATTGGCCTACTTGTAATTTTCTTAGTCTTGCTTTTTCTAATTCTTTTTGGCCTTCCTTTTGGTTAAAGGACAAGATGTAGGACCTTGTCACTTGCTCCCGCCCTGATAAAGTACTGTTCGGCCACCAGAGGAAGGGATGCTTCAGCTAGGACGTTCTACATCTTTTCCTTTATCACATCTGTGTCCCCGTCCACCAGGTTGGAAGGTGCCTGGGAAAATTTCTCAGCATGCTACATGTGGATTCTGGAGTTGGTCTTCTGGTTTGTACTAACTTATTCAGTATCTGAATGATAGTTTTTAATAAAGCTTTATGGTACAGGTTTGAGGTATTTTCCTGGTTTAAGGATATTTTAACTTTTTAATTTTCTTTAGTTTTTAGGGAGGCATATTCTGCAAACCTACAACCATGCCATCATCTTTCCTGGAAGTCTCATAAGTACTAGAATGAATTTTTAGGATTTAAAAAAAGGCATTATTTAAACTGAAATCTTTATTTTCTATCTAGCTATGGATCAGTTCTGCAGAAAAATGCATATATTCAAAACTTTGCACAATGTTAAGGTGTTTACTTCCTCTAGGACACTCTTTAAATGAATAATATCTGATATTGCAAACTTTCTTATTTGGAGTTTCTATAGGGATGTCAACATCAGAAGTCTCCTAAGATAGTGAATCTGAAACTTTAGTATTCATAAGAAACTCTTGAGGAATTGGTTTAAAATGCAGATTTCTGTACCCTCTTCCCAGAAGATTTGAGTCAGTGGATTTGAGAATCTTTCTAGCTTACCCTGATGCAGGTGGTCCACAGTTCACCTTTGAGTAATGCTATCTTAAGTGTTAAAATAATCAGATTTAATTATTTTAATAATTAAATATTTAATTATTTTAATAATTAAATATTTAATTATTTTAATAATTAAATATTTAATTATTTTAATAATTAAATATTTAATTTTTTTAATAATTAAATATTTAATTATTTTAATAATTAAATATTTAATTTTTTTAATAATTAAATATTTAATTATTTTAATAATTAAATATTTAATTATTTTAATAATTAAATATTTAATTATTTTAATAATTAAATATTTAATTATTTTAATAATTAAATATTTAATTATTTTAATAATTAAATATTTAATTTTTTTAATAATTAAATATTTAATTTAATTATGAGATAGATATTTTAGGTAACTAGGGCATTTCAGACTATCCCATGGAGCTGAATAGTTGACAGCTGCTTTCCTTGGCTTCTAGAGGATGTACTATTCATCAAGATGGATATTCTTTCCATTTTCTTCTCTTAAACCCAAAGCTCAGTTTCCCAAACTTTGGGATTTTTGAGGATTGGGAAAATCTTCACATCTTCACTTACCCCCCCCCCACACACACACACGAAATATCACACAGGCTGCCAGTTTTTTATTTTGCTGAATGAGGGCATTAAAAATAAATAACAATGAAGGACATTTTTAACACCTCCTCTTATCACAACCACCAAAGATACAAGTAAATAAAAATGTAGGAAGAACACAACCTCATAATACCGATAGTCTTGTTTGTTTTTTTAAAGGTAACTTTTTTTTTTTTTGCTGTGTTGGGTCTTCGTCGCTGCGCGCGGGCTCCCGCTAGTTGCAGTGAGAGGGGGCTACTCTTCGTTGCCGTGCGCGGGCTTCTCGTTGCGGTGGCTTCTCTTGTGGAGCACGGGCTCTAGGCACTCGGGCTTCAGTAGTTGTGGCTCACGGGCTGTAGAGCATAGGCTTGGTAGTTGTGGTGCATGGGCTTAGTTGCTGCGCAGCATGTGGGATCTTCCCAGACCAGGGCTCGAACCCGTGTCCCCTGCATTGGCAGGCAGATTCTTTTTTTTTTTTTTTTTTTAATTTATTTTTTTTATATATTTGTTTTTGGCCGCATTAGGTCTTCGTTGCTCTGCGCAGGCTTTCTAGTTGTGGCGAGCGGGGGCTACTCTTTGTTGCGGTGCACAGGCTTCTCATTGCAGTGGCTTCTCTTGTGGAGCACGGGCTCTAGACGTGCAGGCTTCAGTAGTTGTGGCATGTGGGCTCAGTAGTTGTGGCGCGCAGGCTCAGTAGTTATGGTGCACGGACTTAGTTGCTCAGCAGCATGTGGGATCTTCCCGGACCAGGGCTCAAACCCGTGTCCCTTGCATTGGCAGGCAGATTCTTAACCACTGCGCCATCAGGGAAGCCCCGCCAATAGTCTTTTAAATTTAACACATTTAGCTCTATGCAAAACCCACTCTGTTTTCCACTTAAGAAAAAAAAATTTACTTAGCTACAAATTAATGAATACTTTCTCTTGGATGGCATTTAAGAACTGCTGTTTAGTACTTGAAACAGTGCATTGTAAGAGGCACTACCTGAATACAGTGAGTAGACATGTATCTCATATCCTCTGTTTTCTCACCAGTTCGGTCCTTTGGTACAGAAGACAGACCAACAGATCGTCCAATACCACCTCGAGATGAAGTCTTTGAATACATTATATTCCGTGGGAGTGATATTAAAGACCTTACTGTTTGTGAGCCACCAAAACCACAATGTTCTTTGCCTCAGGACCCAGCTATCGTTCAGGTAACATAGTCAATTTGTCTTGGAGTTCAAGTAAATTTCATGCATGTAACTAGCCTTGGATTTTGCCTCTCCTTGTTTTTGTTTTTTTAATTTTCTCGATTAAATGTTCATATAGCTTCTTACCATTTTCTAGTTACCTGGATACCCAAAATAACTGGAAAAGGTTCTCACCCAGGTTTTTCTCTTTAGATAATAAGTTGGGACTAAATAGATTAAGAAATAGCTGAGGAATTAATTTTTATCATAAGATACTTTCTGATTTCAACAATGGTTAAAATAGCTAACATTTATTGAGATCTGACTTTATAAGAAGCACTATTCAAAGCACTGCACATATAATAGGACAATCCTCACAACACCCTCTCCGCTTGGTACTATAGTTATTCTCATTTTTATAATCCTCATTTTTATAAGTGAGGAAATTGAAGTAGACCCATAATTTGAACAGACCCAGGAATTCTGGCTCTAGAATCCAGGATCTATGCCACTATACTATTCACACGTGGTTCATATTACAAACCAGGGTGGTGATGGCTACTCTTAGGTAAGATGACTAAGTTTAACGAAAAAAATGCTAAATCACATTATATATTATATGTTTATTACATAGTATACATGCAATGCACAAACATAAAAGGATTTTAACAGGTACAGATACGTTGTTCAATTCCCAAATAAAGTATTAAAGAAGACAATCCTAAGTATTCTCATTAAGAGAAGTTTTTTCTTAATCAGTTAATTTATTTATTTGTTTTTATTTTTGTCTGTGTTGGGTCTTCGTTGCTGTGCACGGGCTTTCTCTAGTTGTGGCACGCAGGCTTTCTCCAGTTGCGGCAAGTGGGGTCTATTCTTCGTTGCGGTGCACAGGCTTCTCATTGTTGTGGCTTCTCTTGTTGCAGAGCACGGGCTCTAGGTGCACAAGCTTCAGTAGTTGTGGTGCATGAGCTTAGTTGCTCCGTGGCATGTGGGATCTTCCCAGACCAGGGATTGAACCCATGTCCCCTGCATTGGCAGACGGATTCTTAACCACTGTGCCACCAGGGAAGCCCAAGGAATTATAAAATTTGTGTATTTTATTTAAAACAGAAATACATGATGTCTAAAAGATTGTAAATTATGAATTAAAGAAGATGTTCATCATAGTACCTGTTTATATGTTAATTGGAAGCACATAGAAACTGAATTTCTACTATAGCAGCAGAGGAAGCAGGTTAACATGAGTATTTTTAGTTACTGGCATAGATGATTAAAAACTTTGTGGCCCCCATATGGTTTTCCTGCT